GTGAATGGTGGCACACCTAGGCTGGGTGACTTACCCAAAGTCACCCAGGAAGTCTTTGGCAGAGCATAGGACTCCCAAATCCTAGGCTATAGCTCGAACCACCGAACCGTTTTTCCCTTTAAAAATCAGAACAAAAGATTATTTATGTTGACTATCTAGTATATTTATATGAATGAATAATAATAGCTAGAGTGATGGTAGCAAGGATAAAACTGTAGAAGGGTTAACTCTCCTGCTTCTGGGTATATGAAATATCTAAGATCAAGAAGAAACTTCCCCTGTAGAATTGATAATTGCCCATTATAGAGTTTTACACCTTAGCTATGAAGTGTAAATGCTTGCTTGTACTGCTTGCTATGAGAGACAGAACACTGGACTGCATGGAACAGTGGTTTGATCTGGCATGGTAATTCCTGTGTGTGTGTGTGAGAGAGAGAGAAAATATTCTTGCATGTTATCAATGTATATTTGGAGACGAAATCTATATAATACATGACCAATTCAGTATCACCAAGCCTGAGCACTCAAAAATCATGAGATTTTTAAAAAGAATGCATTCTGGATTCTGTTTTACTTGCCTTTTGGTTTTTGAGCTTTTGGGATTCATGTTTTCAGACTCTTCTCTGCGCTAGCAATTTATATTTTTAAATGAAAGCTGAGCTTCCCGTGCAGTGATCTGACTCCTGGAGCTGAGACATTTAAGAAAAACACCAAGTATTGCAAGACATGTGATTAAAACGTTAAGAGTTGGCAGTGCTGTTGGTTGCATTGCACATGTTTTGCCTAGCGTTCCTAAAAGCCAGGAGCCTGTCGCTTCTTCTGATTGTGCTAGGGCTAGAGAGGAGATCCAAGGCAGATCTGATCTCAGAAAGTTCCCAGAATGAGTTTGGATTGAACGGGGGAAGAGCCAGCATGTCTGCAGCTTTGATTTATCTACCTGGCCTACATGACACCTCAAGCCCTGGGACAGGCAGGAAAGTGAACGATACTATCTCTTGGGGGGAGGGGGGATTATTTTGTTTAGATGTCAATTACGTCCCATTTGGGAAGTGAATGAACACTAAAGAGTGATGGGGTTGAGCAGGAGTAGAGATAAAAGCCTAATTGCCTCCTGAAAGTCTCTCCCTAGCAAATACTTCAAGGATAAGTTGTCAAGAAGGGGGCTGAAAGGGAGGTAGCACTCTTGAGTGGAGAGAGAGTTCTCACTGAGGAAGATGAACCAACAGGGGGTGATCTTGAGGGGGCCTGTTGTGTCTACTCTGATAGAGATGTGGCGGGGGGGGGGGTGGTTTCAAGGGGGTTGTGAGGATAATTTAGGGCCTTCTTCTTAACCAGAGTGAAAGTTCTGGGAGCAAATGGTTCCCTTAGGTAGATATTTGCAGGCTAATTTTTCATAGGATGCTGAGCATTAGCGACTCCAGTTGACTTCATTAGGACCTGTGGGTACAAAGGTCCTCTGAAAACCCACCCATTTAGGGCCAGATTCTCAAAACACATCTGTGCTAGAGCTAGGTGGGAAACTGTTTTTTCCTATCCTGGGAAAATATTTGAGCTTTTTGAAAAATGTTCCTGTTCCCAGTTGGGGGACACAGTCGAAATCTTGAATTGTTTTTGCAAACTGACAAATGAAGCATTTTGTTTCCATCCTTTCTAAACATTTCATTCCGCGTTTGACCATTTTAAATGTGGGGTGTTTTTTTTACTGTAATTAGCTCAACGTTCAAGCAAAAAAAGTCATTTTGATCTGGAAAACTGGAATTTTTTTGTTAGGAACATGTCAGAATGGGATTTGTTAACCATTTCAAAAGTGTCCCCCCCCCCGCCAAAAAAAATGTTTTTGAAGTGAGAAAATCATCAAAACTGACCCTTCCCTGTGAGCAGTTTCAGTGAATCAACATGTTTTGATGGGAAAACAGTTGGCAAAAAAAATCACAACCAGCTCGACTCAGCACTTTGGGAGCTGACGCTTTTGAAAATCAGTCCTGCACTGGAGTGCTGAGCAGTTGAAAAACTGGCCCTAAATACAGGTTTCAGAGTAACTGCCGTGTTAGTCTGTATTCGCAAAAAGAAAAGGAGGACTTGTGGCACCTTAGAGACTAACCAATTTATTTGAGCATAAGCTTTCGTGAGGAGCCACAAGTACTCCTTTTCTTTTGGCCCTAAGTAAATGAACTGTGATGTAGCTTTCTTTCTGTCTTCCTCTGAAAAAATTAATGGAGGGGTTTCCAATCAATAAACAGTTTGCAAACTGCTAATCCAGGACTATATATAAAAAAATAAGATATTTTGTCTTTTTTTCTTGGTCAGTTTAATAATCCCCTATACACAGAATCGCACACAATCATCTTGTAAACACAAGCAAAATTACACAACGACACATTATCTCGCTCATCCAGTTACTTGATTGTAGGGTTGTGTGCTTTTATGCTTTTTGTTTTTCTACAGTTAAATTTGTACTGCAGGTAGATCTTTTTCAGCCCAAAACTTAGATAGTATATTTCCTGGTTTTAAATGCTATTTGTTAACTTTCCTTTTAATGGCTTTGCTTTGAAAACACAGATACTAATATTAACAAAACTCCTTAATTGAATGTGTGTTTCTGTCTTAAAATAGTGTGCTTTTCATTAGAAACCTACAACATTATTTTTCTGGAAATATTCATTCAAATCAAATATATTGTATTTGGTCACATCTTTTTTTGTATTCACTATCCAATAATCCCACTATCCTAGGGTAACAGATTTTACTAGCAATAATATTTTTGGAAACAGCAAATAGTAAATGAGCATTAGAAAATGTCCATGGGATGTGAATTTTAAACTCGCAAAAGGGGTGCACTGGAAATCTGATTCCAAGTAACTCACCCAGTTAGGGAAGAGGAACAATACCAAGTGACCTAGTGTCCAATGAAAACTAATCGACAGAGCTCAAATTCCGAATGCTTCCAATGATCTGTTCACGAAGGATCTCTAGGTCTAAAATTATTTAGAAAAAGCATCTAGCAAATAATTTCAAATAACAATTATAGCCAGGGATGTTGAAAACTGAGTGTGGACTGCCTGTGAACAGGAAAAGGAGGGACGTTTGTCTACTAAATACTTGCTAGTTAATTATATTCACTCAACACTACGCTGAAACATTGTGTCCTTTCAATTAAGAGTCTGATCCAAACCCCATTGGGCTTTAGAAGCAGGCCAGTGCTTAATTTGTAATGAGAGGTGCTGGGGCTCAAGCATGTTTGTTTGTTTGTTTGTTACTTGCATAACTGACAAGCCCAGGGGTGCCGGGGCTATGAACTGCCAGGTCCAGAGGTGCCAGGGTTCAACCCTGGCGCAAATTAAGCACTGGATCAGGCAGGAAGGATGGCGTTCTCTGCCTTTGTGAATCCTGAGTAAGTGACCAGGAGTTCTCCGTGGGTGGGTGGGAACAGCATTGTGAAATCCACTTATTTATTTATTTATTACCTTCGCACCCAAAATCCCCATTGCTCTAGGCACTGTACACACACATAGGAAGTCCCTGAACTGCTGCAGCCTTCTAGATCTCCGTCTGCCGTCAGGTGGGAGGGATTTGTGTGAGCGTTACATTGTTCACTGGCCGTACACCATCCAGCTGCCTTTCCCTCTGACCCCCCGCAAACACCACACTACTTCCAATGGCTCCCCTAATGCAGCACGCTTCCAGTGCGTCCTGGGATTTCACAGCCCCTTTGTGGTGTGGGCTCTCCCCTTCCACTCTTCAGTGCAGCAGAACCAGGCTCCAAAAGGGTTTGGATGATTGAGATTTCATGATAAAATCTATTTGGACAGACATGGCCCTGCTGCTGCATAACATTGCCATCAATTATCTGTATTACAGCAACACCTAGGGTCCCAGGTGCGGTTGGGATCTGTATTGTACTAGGCACTATACATACAAGAGATTTACAAGATTTAATGGTATTCTAAGGAAAATAGGCACCGCTTCCTTTCAAATCAGGATTACATCATCTCCATGGGATTGAGACCGACATAAAAATAATTCAGTATTATGTTTTGACATCTCAGATTTCTAGGGCAAATGAAATGGGCCCAATTCTCTCACGTACACCAGCTTTACTTGAGTCTATAGCACGACACTGTTGTAAGTTTCAGAGCCGCAGCCGTGTTAGTCTGTATCCGCAAAAAGAACAGGAGGACTTGGGGCACCTTAGAGACGAACCAATATATTTGAGCATAAGCATCCGATGAAGTGAGCTGTAGCTCACGAAAGCTTATGCTCAGATAAATTCGTTCGCCTCTAAGGTGCCCCAAGTCCTCCTGTTCTTTTTGCTGTTGTAAGTGAAACCAGAGTTTAGCTGAGGAGGTAGAGTTCTCCATACACCCGTTTCTCACCATCCCGGGTAAGGGAACCTAGCAAGAATAAAACAGCTCACCTAAGCTATTGTGGCTGAGTCAGAGGGTCTGGGTTTCTTTCATGACATATTGGTGACGTGGAGTGAAAGGTATATCCCACACCTGCTTTTCAAGTGCTGTCTTGTGCCCGAGGCTATGTCAGGCCACAACATGCAATGCTTTCTTTGGAACCTAACCTCGCAGTGACAGCAAATATGCTGTGCCAGAGGGCCTGGCAGAGGAGTTGCATGTTGTTACCTGACATATTTGGGATATATGCTATTTTTGGTAGCTACTGTCTATATCTAGGTAGTTATGTGGTCCCATGACTGTAATAGCTCGGTGTAATGTCTAGGATAATACACTGTGGAATCATCTTTTCTGTTAGGACCATGTCTTTCAACACAAACATGCTTCAGATAATTTCATTTTCCAGTTAGAAAGATGATCTCTTTGATTCTGCATGTGAAAGCTAGAAGGCATCTTTGAATGGCCTAGTTGTTGGATGAATATTGGCTATGGGTAAGATCTCAGGGGGGCTATTCACGCGAGTAAGGTGAGCAGAATTGGCCTCATTTGTATTGGACACAGACTGTATTGGCCATATATAGCTCTCTGTCTACTGGGGAACTCCCCTTGACGTTAAGGGCACCTGTGTGTAGACTGACCCACCGTGCTTGTGATAGAAAAATGAACGGGTAAAATTATGCCCCCTGTGAACTCTCACCATGCTCTACAAAAAAAAAAAAAAAAAGTTAGAAGCGTGACAGCTTCCTGTCTGAAAATAATTTTTCCTTTATGAGAGCAGCATCTTCCCCTGGGCGGTGGTTCCACCTCTTGCCATTCCGGTGTAGAGAAATACTAATCCTTTTACACAGCGTTTCTTTAATAATATAATAAATTTCAATAAAACCATGTCCTTGTGTAGTCATCGAAAAAGATTTCTACAGTACCAACCAAACTGATCAGTATAGCTATTTACAACATATCTAATGCCCCTGGAAATGCCAGCACAGAAGTGACTCTTGAAAAGCTCTCCTCCTCAGGCTTGGAAACCGTGTGCGGCTCTTCCAGGTTTAATACTTAGGTAGCTCTTGTAACCTGCAAAGCACTTTATAGAGAGAGAGAGCCAGAGCCTTAGCTGTGTAAATCGCCATCGCTCCTTTGAAATCAATATAATTAAGCTGTTGGACACCAGCTGAAGATCTGACCCAGCAACTAATGAATTAACCCCCACAGCTCTCCTGTGAAATAAAATGAACCTATTGTAGGTATGGGGAAGGGAAGCGGAGAGGTTCAAGGATTTGCCCAGGGTTGCTGGGAAAGGAGGCTGTGTCAGAGATCAGAGCTCTGGAATTCCTGGCTCACAGAGCTGTGCTCAGGCCATGAGACTATGACCTTTCTCTCTCTCTCTCTCTCTTTGATACCTTGAGCCTTTATTTCCAATCGCTGTGCTGAATCCGATTTCCTGGTAACTGCACATTCTTTGAGCGGGGCAAGAGACAGGAGAGTTTTTTTGTTGTTGTTTTTTTAAAAGTGTGAACAATGTAATTGAAAAAATGGTGGTGGGTTTTTTTCTTTTTTCTTGTTTAATAGAAAAAAATACACAAATGAAAAACGTGTGCTGGGCAGGAATGAAGATAGGTATATCCGAACTTTATCACAGAGGATAAAAGTTTTTTGTTTAGGAATTAAATAAAATGGTCCGCTGAAAATAGATGTGCAGAAACGTGCACAGCCAAAGTACTTTCCACATTTGTCTTTAGGAAAGACAGGAGGGTTGGTTGGTTGGGCTCGGAGGATCACTACTCTTCTTGCATGCGGGAGAAGCAAATACTCTTTGGGGGCAGGAGATGAGAGAGAGAGAGGAAGGGCTGTCTTTAAAAACACCCATGTTAAATAAATAAAGTGATCAGGAGCTTAGTCCCCAGGGATCAGAGCGTGAAAGCGCCAGAGAGCCCCTTCTTCTAGCACAACGGCTTTTGAAAGACACAGTCTCCAGGGGGAGGCCCAGCGCCCAGCCATGGGGGCGGAAGAAGGTGGAAGGGGGCTGAGCAGGAACTGTCCGGGTCCGGGGCTTCTGATCCCCCCCCCCCTCCTGCCCTGCAGAGAGGTTCAGCATCTTCCAGGTGGTCGGTTTCAAGGGAGCCCTTTACCAAGCCCTGATCCCTGCTTGCAGCGTGGCTTGCAAGTGACCCTGCTGGTTCTGAGCGGCGCTGGAAACACAAAAGCTCATGTTCATGATGTGACCGGCGGGCGCGGTACGAGCGGGGCCCCCCGCGTAACTACCGCTGTAGTTTGCGCTGTAGGGGCTATTGCTGTAACCGCGGTAGTAGGCGTTATAGGAGTAAGGGCTGACCGGGACATTATAAGGGGCAGTGTAACCCTGTGGGCCCCCAAGGCAGGGCTTGCCATCCCTGACAAGTACGGGGACCGCTACCCTCCTGGGAGGCAGGGGGTGGGCAGAGAACTCCAGCGATTTATCTTGCCTTTGTCTCTTGCACTTGTATCTCCTGTTCTGGAACCAGATCTTGACCTGCGTGGAGGTGAGTTTCAGCAGGCTGGCGAGATGCTCCCGCTCCGGAGCCGAGAGGTACTTCTGCTGCTTAAACCGCCTCTCCAGCTCGAAAACTTGCGCTTGAGAAAACAAAACCCTGGGTTTCCGCCTCTGCCTTTGCTTGGGCCGTTCGCACGGGTCGTCTTTCTTCTCCGGGGTCGCGAAAGAGTCCGCGGGCAGCGATTTGCCTGCGAAGGCCAAAGCACAGGGAGACATTTTCAGCTCCACGCCCCCAGAAACGTGTTTCGAGTTTCCCAGCCCTGGGTCAAAGAACGACTCACGGGCTCCTGTGAAATTAGATTCACGATTATTAAAGCCATTTGGAAAACGGGCTGAATTAACCCGAACATCTTGGGGGGAGGGGGGAATCACCCCATGTTTCTGCCAGAAAATGAAATTTCGATTATTTTTTTCATTGACAACACAAAATTAGTTCAAGTCTTTCATCTACCAGCACTGATCGTTTCTCTCCGTCTGCCCTAAAGGGGTTATAATCAATAGACCCGATCCAAAACTCATTAAATCAGTGGGTGCCGTTCCATTGACTTAGCAGACTTTGCATCAGATCTGTTAAGGCTGGTGAGCTGTCATTAGTTACCGCTATATCATTTATGTATATTTCATTGGACCAAATCTCTCTCCAACTGAATTGCATAAATACGCTCAAAAAGAACAGGAGGACTTGTGGCACCGTAGAGACTAACCAATTTATCTGAGCATAAGCTTTCGTGAGCTACAGCTCACTTCATCGGATGCAACTGTTGCTCAGGAAAGCTTATGCTCAAATAAATTGGCTAGTCTCTAAGGTGCCACAAGTCCTCCTTTTCTTTTTGCGGATACAGACTAAGAGGGCTGCTACTCTGACACCTGTCACAAATACTCACTTCTGTTTCACTGAGATTGATGGATGAGGAAAGTAAAACAGGACCTGATCCACTGAACATATCCCGTGTGAACGATTCATAGCAAATACCGTAACTCAGTATATACCTTGCTGTCTTTTATTACCAGAATATCGTGTGTGTGTCGAGGGGAGACACTATACGCACTGTTCCCTCGAAGCTATGTGCCTTCCTGTGCACACAGATCCTGAACCCTGCGTACGCACAACAATTTACACAGAAGAATTTTTTTGTGCACAGGGCCTGTCAGAAATTAGAGGGAACATTGACTGTCAGGCTATGTTTTTATATAATTTGATGCAAGAAACATGAAGCGATCTTCAAATGAAGGAGGGAAGGCGATCAGCTCCAGGAGACAATGCCCATCAGAGCCTTGAGTGAATACGTAGATAGCTAGGTTTCAGAGTAGCAGCGGTGTCAGTCTGTATTTGCAAAAAGAAAAGGAGGACTCGTGGCACCTTACAGACGAACAAATTTATAGCTAGATCCACTTCGGGAGAATCCTACTCAGCGTGCGGCACCTGTTACCTTCCAGTGTGATTTCTTCACAGCTGGACAATGGAGCCAAGGCGTATTCCCGCTGCTCCTTTCCACACACCCACCCCACCTCCTTGCCGAGTCATTTCCAAATCTAGACGTCCGATCTGGCAAGCTCCTGCTCGCAGGAGTAATCCTTACTCCAGGGAGTAGACCTCGTGGCTAGAACAGGGACCCACAAGATTGATACGTGCCAATGTGGCAGAATCAGCCGCCAGTTTACTTAATGGTTCCCACCAGTCAGTCCCGTGCTGTGGTGGTGGGTCCTGTCCGGAGGCTGCACGTTCGCAAGGAATCGGGGCGCAATGTAAAGCCCCCGAGGTGTATTCTGCTCTCTTTGCTCGTCCAGACTTTGGTTCCCATGTTATTTGAACTAAATTATTGAGCTCTTCCGGCTTCTTCCTCCGCCCCTGTTACACTTGGACAGAAAACCGGTGTAGGTGATAAAAAAATATAACTAAAAAAGCACAAGAAGAGCCTTATTGACTTTCTGGCTTATATAATAATAATTAATAATTAATTAATAATGCCGTTTAGGCGTTAGGAAAACGACCCGCGTTCCTGTTTATTTGCGCTGTGAAGTAGGAAGTTTTGGACTGAGTTATGCAAAACAAAAACAATCTGATCAGTGTGTGTGGAATATGCTGGCAGTTTGGCCTCTGGTTCCTAAACCTGCGTGTCAAATACACGTGCCGGTTAACAAACAGCTGAGAATGAGTCAATAACTAAAAAAAGGGGATCGGTTTGGACTAAAATTTCGACCCCGTCCAATCAATATTTAGCAGGTTACAACTATTCTCGCTATTCTAGTGCGATGGATGCTGCTCGTGCAATCCTGCACGAAGGAGAGTTATTGTAGCTTTAATTGTTCGTTTAAAAATCACGTCGTGGCATTGAAATCAACCACGTAGTGGGCTGTAATATTTTGAATGATTGTCTTTAGTTACAATCGTGCACATGTTAAATGACCACCCAGTCATTTCCCATGTCACTGGGAATGTTGGAATTTTTTCTGTTTTTAAAAGACTGTAGAGAGTGAGTGTGTGTGTGTATACATATTGTGTGTACACCCATTCAAACGCTTTATATTTTATATATTAAAATAGTGTTAATGGATGTATACAATATATTATAAAGTGTTTGAATATATACACACACAGACCGATCTTTTTCTCTATGTATATAGTGAAATATTATAAAACGACTTCATATTTTAAATTATTTTCAGCTTATAACAATATTTTCCTTAGATGCTTAACAGAGCTAACTATGAGTTGGAAGCTTGAACTATTAAATGCAAAGCTGTATTATATTTATTTCCGTAAGCAGTAATTTATTTCAAATCAAAATACAGGCCACCCCCCAGCTGGACAGGTCAGTGGTGACATTTGCCATCTTACAAAATTCCCTGTGCCGAGGACTTAATTTTATGGACTTGTAACTTTGTGGCTGGTTTTATTTTTGAAACTTTTAAAGGACAATGTCGACAAAGAAAAAGCCCCCTTCACAAAACATCAGGTGGAGGAAAAAATAAATATTGACAGTTGACCATTATTTGTTTTAAATAATATATAGGGGTTACAAAATTTAAATACCAGCTTTGCTCGTGCAGTCAAACGGGATCTAATTTGAAACGCAGTTGGGGGGGGGGGTTTCAAAAAAAGCAACAATTTTTTTACATCTTTCACTGTAGTAATTTTTGTAACTGTATTCTCTGCGGCTGCGAAGTACCCGATTGCTTTTCTATTTGTGTGTATCCAAATGCTTTCCTATATTGTGTGTGACGTATATTACTTCACACTTAACACGGGTTGTGAAAATACTTTTACTGTGTACATACTGGTGGCTTTGTTCCTGGCATTGTTGTACTGTAAGAACTTTTAAAACTATAGGTAGGTGAATCTGAAGAGACTAGAATCCAGTTTTGTCGATGATAGTTACACAGAAGAATTTGAACAATTAAATTTGCATAGGGTTCTTCTATCAATAGGTACATCGCATTATATATGTCTCACAAAGATATCAAATATGTATATTACAAATTCCAGATTGCAACCTCACTGGCTACACAAAAGTTTTATCCTGCCATTCTATATAATCCCAAATGAAATCACATGGTATCTTAAAGCAAACAAATTATTTCATTGCAACGGGTCTAAACACGATCTTGTAGCCCAGATTTTTTCTGTCAACGTTTCCTTAACGATTTTTAATGCTGATTTCTTGCGGTGCACTAATATATGGCTTGATGATAAGGAACCTATGCAATCCCCTTACCCCAGATTTTGTGTATTCACCAAAACTAAAAGCGTATAGCTGGCCTCATTTCACTGGGGGAATATTTTGGAGAGGTAATTTGCTATGAAGTTCAATACCAAATCTGTGCATCTCTTTATGGGATTAAGAACATAAGAATGGCCATATTGGGTCAGACCAATGGTCCATCTAGCCTCATATCCTGCCTTTTGACAGGGGCCAGGGGCTTCAGAGGGAATGAACAGAACAGGTGAATTATCCAGTGATCCACTCCCAGCTTCTGGCAGTCAGAGGTTTGGGGATACTCAGAGCATGGGGCTGCCTCCCTGACCATCTTGGCTAATAGCCATGGATGGACCTATCCTCCATGAACTTCATCATTGATCCAAAGCCGCTGAAGCCAAGGGAAAGATTCCCATTGATTTCCATTGGTTTTGGATTAGTCCCCAAGTTTATTAGCTGGTGGTATTTCTCCCTCCCGCCCCCCCTTTAACTAACTTACTTAGGTCCATGTCGTCGTCTTCTTCACAGGAGCTTCTCAGGAGCTCATACTCCTCCTCACGCCTCCTGCAATTTCCGCGCTGATCGACTTCCACCGGGAAGGGAAGGTCCCCAGAGTTGTAGGCAGCCTCTTGTTTCTTGCGCAGACAAGCAGGGGCAGGCTGCAGGGCCGGAGGCTCTTGCAGATCCTGGGGGAGGAATCCCTGAGGGTCCCCGCTCTGAGCGCTCTGCTGCTCCAGCTTTAAGATGTCTTTGACCGAGAAAGGGGTGGAAGTGATAGGACAGGGCAGCATCCTGCTCAGACTCGTGGGGGAAATGGAGAGGAAGAAATGTTGGAGCCCCAGTTCTGGGGGCCCTGAGATGGGGGGCGGGAAGGGGGGGAAACGAATCCCCTGAGGAGCAAAATCAGGGCTCCCCGGACTGGAGGGTTGTGTGTGCCCGGGCCCTGTCCTAGTTCTTTGGCTCGCTGGGCTGCTTCTGACGTGCTCCCACGGGCTTAGGGTTACCTTGGAATTGTGAATGGGAGGGCTTCCTTCTAAAAGCCCATTGGTTCCCCCGGAGCCACGTGACTACCCCCTGCCTCTTATTTACCTCTTGACTGCTATTGCAGAGTAGGGTATCACCCAGAGATCAATAAATATACATCGATATGGGGGGGGGGGGAGGAGGGAACGGGACATCGTGACAGAGCTGAGCAGGGATGAGGCCAGCCTTTCCTTTTCTGAACTCTTCCTTTGGGTGAATAGTTGATCGTGGGAGTGGGAACAGCAGTTGTTTTATTCTTGGGAGATTTAAAACCAACCAACCCACCCACCCCACTGCAGGTAATAATCCTCGCTTTCTAGAGCACCGCTTGCCCGGGTTCTGGATTTCTAGTAGACGCAAAGATGGCAAATGTAAAAAACCACAGCTCTGCATACAGATGAAAACTATAACCATGTACTCCAGCTGCTTAGTAGTCCTATTACTGATGGGTAGCTATTGTAATTAGTACAGCATTATTATAATAGGATTGTGTGCTTCTGCTTAAAACAGCTGTGTCGCGAGCAATTGCATTATGCGTCCTCGTCGTTGCTTTACTAATTAAAATATTACAAAACATCAATAACACGAGGCACCTCCATAGCGTGCTGTAGTCCCAGTGGAGCTGTACAATTATGTGCAAGGCTGCATGGGTGGATATGTACATGCATTTCGATCACTGTGTACAAGTAAGGGTGCATGTATCCATATCATCCATTAACATCTAGTTTAGGTTTAGGGAAGCAAGTGGCAAATAAATTTGGAGAAGATAGGCTCGCTGGTATTTCAGAGGGGGGAAATGTTGGATCAGGGAAGTTAGCTATATTTTTAGAGCAAATTTCTGACAGGCTTGCAGGTGCAAGACTATGGAAGCACTGCCAATTGCCCACAGCCAGAGATTGAAACATTTCCAAACAGAACTGATTACCCTGTAATGTGGCCGGCTGGTGTACCCGCTTGTGATCTGATATTTAATACAATAGCTTCTTTTGCCCAAATTTCCCGTTATCAGTAAAAAGAAAAGGTGGACTTGTGGCACCTTAGTCTCTACTCTCTAGTCTCTAAATCTCTCATCTCTAAGGTGCCACAAGTCCTCCTCTTTGCGAATACAGAGGCTGCTACTCTGAAACCGTTATCAGTAGTGGCCATAACAATCAAAACAATCAACTTGAAAAAGAAATTAAGTATTTTTAAAAGAAAACGCCATAATCATTACCTCCAAGGGCGGGGGGAAGGGAGAACAAAGCACACCAGAGTTTTATGGCATTATTTGCCTCGGTTCTTTGTATTTCAGTTTCAGACATTTCTGCCATTGATAGTTTTCGGCGTGGATATTAGTTTGGATCCACTATTTTAGATCTGTTCGGAGAGATGCAAGAATGCAGTTTCTGGGGAATAAACAACTCAGTTACTTCTGAGAAAAGCCCATAAACTCTCGATGAAAATCACTGTGTAAAAACCAGCTTCATTTCTATATTTGACTCCGTTTGATCTGAATCTGCGGTCACTGAACAGGGGATTGGGGGGAGACACTTTTTGAGCCTAGGGCAAAAATGTCAGACTTGACATTTTAATTTTTCCTTTAAAAAAATCCTCCAAGATGAATTATAAGTTAACTATTAAATTTACACTCGGAATAGTACAACTTGCTTAAATTACCTTTTAACTTTTTCCTTGTTCAGAAAACACAGGCAACATACAGATGGCCAAAAGAAGGAGGGAGTAATATATAGGTTGCTAACATATATAGGTAGATCACAGAATACAGAAGTAGACCATAGAATATATTATAGAGGTAGATGACATATGTGGGTAGATATAAAAAGCTCTGAGATTTTCTATTTTTAATTGTTATAATAGAGGACGTTTGCTAACTAGTGGCCCAACCTTGTATTCCTTGCTCAGGCTAAACTGTCATTAACTTTCGTGAGAGTTTGGGGTCCTTCCTTTAGGATGCAGAATCTGGCCCAATTCCGGGTTTTCAAAGGCAATAATCTAAACCCTTTCTGGACAGCATTCCCTTCAATCATTTAGCAGCACGATTAGGGAGGAAGGCTTCTAACTTCCGTCCCCTCCTCCCTGGGGTTTTGTTAGCTTTCCTGACTCGCTTGTATGTTTCAGCCTCCCTGGGTGTTTGTTTTGCTTATCAAACAGCTCTTGAGCACTGACAAGTTTGTACTAAAGAGCAAAGGAGCCAAAGCATCCCCTCCCCACTTTGTATTCCCAAAACAGGGGAAGAAATAGAAAAGATTTGCTTAAGCTGGAATAAAATAAATCTAATCGATTTTAGCCTCCATTAAGATCACATTAGCGAGTGGATTTGGGAGATAAGGGCTGATAAGGTGCAGGACCTGGGGTGTGGAGACCACCCTAGCTCTTGGAGAAAGCTCTGTGCCTCTGGCCTGGGAAGAGGTTTGGCTGGAGAGAGAAAAAAATCTTCCATCAAGGCTCGAACTCCCTGCTGAGAATGCACTATCCTAACTCCTGTACTCCGTGAAAACTGTGGTTTAATTACTATCAGGAGCCCTGGGATGTTCTCTAGACCATGGATGTGCAGCGAGCACAACTATGGATGGCATAGTAGACTGAGCAGAGAGTCCGATTTCTACTCCCAACTGCCTGTGTTCCTCAGTGTCCCCATCTGTAAAATGGGCATACTGATTCTTGCCCTCTTTTGTAAATGACCGTTGGGATCTTGGACAGTGACGGTACTCTGTTGCAAAATTCCAAGTAACACGTTTCCTGCAATCGTTCTTCTAATGAGTGTTAATTTGCTGATATTCTCTTGCCCACCACATTTTCTCCAATTGTTATGGTCAATTTGTGTGCATATTTTTTTAATATCAGCTATAGAGGCTCTTTATGGTATTGCCTGCATCTGATATTGTCTGCTACGCTGTTAGAATGGAGAGCATCTTACTAGCGGTTTCTCTTGTTGCCTTTAAAAACAAACTGTACAACATCCCTTATCCCTAGAGGAATACTGAATAGAAATAGAATATCTGTCTCTCTAGATTTATTATAAGGTTGCCCATCACCATGGTATTTGAGCACCATCCATGAAAAGTATATGCAAAATCTCCCTCTTCCAGCCCGGCTGACAAGAACAAGCTTAAAGTTATTGGGCCTGATTCTGCACTGCATTATGGTTGTGTAAATCAGGAGTAACTCTAGTAACTCTGAAGTCAAAGGACTCATCTAGTGAAAAAGGGGGATGAGGAAGGAATCAGGCCTGCCTGTTGTTTCTTATTACCTGCCTTCTAGGGTGTTGCAAAGATTAACTTTGCAAAATTCTATGAAGATGAACATGGTTATGTAAGTGCTAAAGGTGACTATATTCAGGCAGGTACACACACATACTTTCTCTCTGTCTGATGGTCAGATCCTGTAACTGTGACGTGAATAACCAACCTTTCACACCAGTCATCTCATTCACTTCAATTGCATGAGAACACATTACTCAATTGAGTAAGGGCTGCAGGATTGGTCCTTCATACAGCACTGAGGCAGAGGGTCAGATTTTCAAAAGCACCTTGGATGCTGAGGGGATTTGAAAATCTGGCCAAAGGTGTTGGCAATGGGAGCGGCAGGGTGCTGAGACGTTTTTCTAAAACTGGCTCTTGTTTAAGTGTCTAAACGAGAGCCGAGCTCTGCGGACAATGTGGCTGCTTCTCTGAACATTTGAAAATCTGGCTCCCAGAGCCCAGACCTGCCCTCCTTTCTCCCACCAGCAATGCCACTGAAGTCCATGGCCCTACTCCAGTGCGTAAGGCAAGCAAGTAGGGCTCTCTGCTGCTCAACTCACTCAGGCAAAACTCCCAGGGACTTCATCGTAGGTCCAGAGATTCAAGTGCTAGCATCACTCAGGCAGCTATTAAAACCTTATCTCTGACCCCTCCTCCCCAGCCCAATTTCCCTCCTGTTTTTTCACAAATCTATGTCAGAAAAGAATAAAATGGCACGTTCTTGTCATACCTGGGGATCTTGCCTGCCCAGGTGAAATTACGCAAATTATTTCAACCTGTTCTTAAATGTAGTTAGGAAGATTAAGGTACCCGGTTGATATTTGCAATGTAGGCTGTGTTGTTCAGATTCTGTAGGCTTTTTACAACAAGAAGTTATAGATCAAATTAAGTTAACTGCTGAGCTGTGAGGTAATAGTCAGATAAACTCTCATCTTAAAGTTTGATACCAGACTTCTTATCTTTGTTGTACTTTGCCATTGCTACACTGAAGCTGAACATCCATTTCAATTAAAATTCCAGGCTAGCTTCAGAAGGCTGGTGTCTGCTGATAGCAGTGACAGAACAGAGCTAGTTTTGGCCTTGGTTGGGCTGATATCTCTCCACACCACAAAAATAGCCAAATTGGACTATTAGAGAAGGCTAAATAAATAAACCACCCAAATACAGGCAAGGAAATGAGGGCCTGAAACAGGAGAGAAAATAAATACAATGGGAAAAGGCGAGAAAGAGCTCATGAATCCACAGATAGGTGCTCGGAGCTGTTATTTAAAACATGAATTTCTTTGTGGCAGCAAATAGATTTTCTAGTAATGTGTATATAAAAATTATATTTATGCCCACATAGTTATGGGACATACCTGGCATGGATCAGCATTACATTATGGCATTATTTTTCAGGTACACATAACAATGGTGACTGAAGGGTATGTAAAAAGAACAGGAGGACTTGTGGCACCTTAGAGACTAACAAATTTATTTGAGCATAAGCTTTCGTGAGCTACAGCTCACTTCATCGGATGTGTAAATCTAGAATAACATTATTTGAAACTGATACAATGCCTTTGATCTGACGATCTCAAAGTGC